ACTGAAATGTGAACTCAAGCTATTTACCTGCCAACATCTGAGACCAGAGCGCTGTGTTTACCCTGCGAGCTGCGTTCTTGATGTTACTTCAGGTACTAGCGATGTCATTACTTGTGGAGAACTGTGCGATCTGGAACTGAGGTTTTGGCAGGTCAGTAAAGGAGGAAAGGATTTTAGCTGTGATACTTATTAATGTCTTTGTACTTGAAAAAAAACATAAACATGCATACAAATCACCTTCTGTCAATTGTAAGTCATCACAGGATGTTGTACAAGCTTTTTTTAGTAGTTCCAAAAGCTTTTTATTTTTCTCATAACAAGTCAAACCATTCTTTTGTGTGTGTGTGTTATTTGTTGTGGTGATGCAGTGTTACAGATCTTTTGATACATTCCTCCTATAGATGTTTTGATACATTCATCCATACATAGACTATATGGATGGGTTTCGTATATTTATATGTGAAATACATGTATGTGAAGTCAAAAAGATGTTTATTTTCAACGGCAGTAGTTTGATTTATCAGCGCAGCAGTGTAGTCTGGTTTAGTGGATGTGTCTGTGACGTGATTCTTCCAGAGCTGCATATGGCAAACAGGAGTATAATTAAGGAGAAATACATTGTGACTCGTTAAGTACCCTGTTTGTATTATTTCTAGAATATGGAGTTACGGGTCATGTTTTAACGAATAAGAAGCTGATTTACAGGGACACGGCCATGTCTGTGATTGTCCCATGTACTTTTATGCTAGCTGTGGCCGTGCAAGCCAGCTAGTTGCCAGCCTTTTATAGTTGAGAGTGTGTTCCCCTCAAAGGTAGAAGCAAGTTCACAAATATACGAGCACATGTTTACACAGGTAGTTAAAAATATATTTCGGTGGACCTTTTGCAAAGCCACTGGAAAGTTAGAAAACAGCATTTCCAGAAAGAAGATTGAAAAGTGATGTTTAAAGAGTCACCAAAGAAACTGGCTGTATATCTCTGAAGTTTTCTTGTAGCTCCTATTCCTGTGCAAGTGAAGTTTATAGTAAGGTTTATAACCAAGGTTCAGTAATACTGGGTCCTAAGAGAATGAATTCCTGGTTTTAAGTATCACTGGAGGAACTGGCAGTTTCTTGTGGGATTGCAAATCCTCTGGGGACTGAGGTGCAGTTTGTAGAAAACCATTAATTTTTGCTCAATCCATTTGATCCTAATTACAAGATCATGCCCTATTTCCTTATTTTATCTTGCATAGGTTTTACTTGTCACCAGTGCTGGGGCTAGGAAACGTTGGGTTCAGTGATCAGCCAGGGGAGAAGAAGGTAATGGAGAGGACGCCTGGCTGGGAGCTGACATGGCAGGGATAAAGAACTATTGACACTGTTTGGGCTGAAGGGGAGCTTTTGCAGCAAAATGGGCAGCTAGGAGTTAGGGAAGGGCTTGGTTCTTTTGGGGAAAAATTGAGAGCCCTTCATTGCTGTGAGCTGCTGCTTCTGTGCAGCCTGTAAGGGAGGCCCCGAACCTGAGGCTGACCCCTTCCCTCCCTCCCCTTTCTGACTCGCCCGTTCCTCCCTGACGCACCGTACTTGAGGGCTGACTTCTGGGGTTTTTTTTTCCCTTGCTGGTCTGTCGGTTTTGGCATGCCCAGGCTTCCAAGTACCTGTAGTTTTGATTTCATGTCAGATCTTGCCAAGTGTATCTGTTTGAATGACTCAGTTGCAGGCAACTGTCAAGCGCTTACGCAGCATGCTTTTCTTTGCTCATGTGACATGAAAGGGCACATGGAGGTGTTTATTCAACAGCTTATTTAGTATCAAGGTGTATAATATGATATGAATTAGCATAATGCTCTGGGATGGGTTAGAAAATCGTTCTTTTTGTTTTCAAGACTCATCATTCCTTCAGAGGTAATTTATACTTTTGCACTGTCAAAATAATTAGCACTTACAATTTTTGTGTGTACATGTAAGATCTGATCTTGCAACCCACAATGGACCAAGCTCTTGCTCCTGACAGTGAGGGAGGAATGTCTTTTTTGTCTGTCGCCTGTGCAGCAAGATGTGTGTCTCACGCTTTCTAGGCAGGCTTCTGCTCTAGGCTGGCCTTTGTTTCTAATGACAGTGCTCCCTTTCACGGCACGAAGCGGGGTTTATTCCAGACGTTGGTCAAGATGGAAGGCTGCCACCTCTCGGTGGCGGTGGGGTAAATGGGGAGGGGTATTCTGGCTGCCTGAATCAGTCTGGGAGAAGTTTGAGTAGAGGTGGCTAGGGATTTCACACCTCTGGCATATAGATTTGTACCTTACTTGCGGGTGTGTTTGTGTTTTTTTCCCCTGTATGGCAGAGATAGAAGTGAAATACTAAACCTGTGCAATAGGCATCTTCTCAGGGCCTGAGGGAGCAGGAGTACTTGGGAGGCAGGACATGCACATTGAAGGGCCCCGCTGAGTGGGTCGGCTGAGTGCTTTCATCGTGCCCTTTCAGCCCCCTTTGTGCTGAAACGGCGATTCCAAACAGTTGGTGCTCAAGTGCTTGAGGAGAGCCGTGGGCAAAGCGCCAATGTTTCTGAAACTTTTTCCTGCAGAGCTTCGGTAGCTGGTGTGCAGGTCCGTTAGGCCTAAGGGAAAACGGGCTTTTGCCGGTCTCCTGCATCCCGGATCTCCCTGGCATGCTTTATTTTTCATTGTGCTTTCCCCAGCAGTGAGCATCATACAGCTTTCCTGTGCAGAAAATAGTACCATCCACCTCTTGTCATGAAATCTGTCTTTTCTTCCTGAAATCTATCCTTTCTTAAATTATTCTTCTCTTCCTTAAATCTGGCCCTCCAAGGCCTGGTCCTGTGCTGACTGTGCTCTCGGCCAACAAGCCTGTCCCCGGAGCTTGTCAGCAGCGTTCCCAGAGCCAGCCAGAAAAGAGCCAGAGCTTGATACCCGTGCTCACGTGTAGCCAGTGCCAGCTTCTTCCCTGGCAGAGTGTGTGGTTCAAGGCTATGGGTGTATCTGCCCTACGCTGGCTTTTCTATAGCAGAGAGCGCGTTCTGGTTTCAGTATACGGGGACAACCCAGCCGTGGTAGCATAGAGCTCGCTGCTAGGCGCCGCTGCACGCAAGCGTGGTCCGTGAGCCGCTTCAGGTACTCGCCTGCGGCATCGCAGTGTGCGATAGAGGTGGGGCCTCGGTCTCTGCATGTCCTTTGGGGTGGGGGGGGGGGTATTGCCACTTGATTGCTAGGCCGAAACTGTGGATTTGGTTTATAGTTTCTAGAGTTGTGTTTCTAGTTTTAGGTGCCATCTGCACAGTGTGAAGAGCAACTTGTGATTTTTCCTTAAAAGAACGGAAAGGATGCCCTTTTGTCAGCCCAGAGAGGTTCATTTTAGAGCAAGACTTTTTTTTCCATGTCTGTAGCTGTCCCCAAGAAAGCGTAGCCAAGCAACATATGCTGTTGCAAGCAGACTTGAATGTTGCTTGTTCTCTCCACATGTCCCGATAAGCTGGAAGTCTGATCACTCTGTCATCTATTAGAGTGCACTATTTTCAGAGTAGCATTGTTTGACCTAAGTAATGGCGTGTCTCGTCGGTGTCCAGACCACATGATTCCCAGCTGAAGTTGTGAATTGCTCCAGCATGCAGGCACAGAGTAGAGCAGCTGCTCAGCATCGCTTGTCATCTCTGTGATGAAGCTGCATAAAGGGATTCCTGCCATTAAATGATTCAAGCTGGAATTTGATGGGGAATTCAGGGGTTTGGTGGTGGTAATCCTGAAAAATATGTCGTGGGATCTCGAGTTGCCCGCAGGATGGCTGGAGGCTTACGTCTATGATAATGGTTCTATCAGTGTAGTATCTCCAGACCTTGATTCAGCACTTGGTCAGAAAGGAAGGTTTCTGCTTGCTGTACCAGTGTTTAGTCACTCTGAGCAGGCCTCGTCACCTTCCTGCATGATGTTACTTTTCTTGTGGTCATAACTGACACAGACTCAGTTAGGAAATCACTTTCAGCCATCGCTAGAACAGTCCCCTGAAACAGCAAGACATTGCTTGGATACCTCACCCCAGCAGCGATTCCTATAACTGGACAGAGAGACCAGATCAAACAGATACTTGCTTTGATGACGCAGATTTTGAGCTTTCTCTTCACTTGCTTGCACGCCTGCTCCTGTGTTGCAATGCATGCCGACCTCCGCACGCCTTCTGCACGCCAGGGTGCCTTGCTCCTGGGCTCAGGCCCTCTTCTGTCGGGATATAACATTGATCTAAGATGCCCAAGAACAGTTTTGACTTTTTCTTGATTCCCGTTTGAGCCACCATGGTTGCAATAAGGTGTAGTCACTTCGTGTGCTTTCAAAGCAGAAGTGTGCTTACTGACCTGGATGCATATAATTTTGCACAAGTTCAGAAACTTGGTAGTTGTGGACCATGCTTTTGCACAAGAATGCCCTCTGGGCAGGCTTGGGTGCCCAAAACCATAATTGGACACTCGGCTAACGTGAGACCATGGAGAATGGATGGAGGGAGCAACCCCCCCACCATTCATCGCTCACTCATAGATGTAGGGCTGGCAGGCAGGAGTGTTAGAAATGCTAATAGTTTGTCTTGGGATAGGGAAAAGAAAATGGGAATTAATTAATAATTTGAATTTAGCCTGGGAAGCATACTGAGAATAATACAGTGCCCTCATAGTGTCCTAAACCCCTGATATTCCTGGGATGTTTTTTCTGATGGGTTGCAGGTTGGATAGTGCTGATGTTGAGCCGGGTGAATCTTTATTTTTGTACACACTTTTATACATTTTATACACACTTCTCATGTAATGTATGTATGTAATATAGTTACAGTTTGTTCTCCCTCTGAAGCTATGCTGCTTAGGGGTGTTTGAATCCACTCACGAGATGTAACACAGTAAATCTACATATTAAGTGTCTTCTGCCAGGCAATGTCTGTTCAACTTCAGTTGTGAAAATGTATTCAAATGATTTTATTCTTTTCCCCCTAAATATAACATGACTTTCTCTCCTTTCACAGTAGACTACACAGAGCAGCCCAAGCTCTTGAAGCTTATGCAGACCTGCCTTGAAGAACACCACAGCTATTGTATCAACGGCCTCTGTGCTTTCCACAGCGAACTGAGGAAACCCATATGCAAGTAAAGAATACTGCTTACAAGTATCCTTCTTGGACAATAGCAGCAGTAGCACTGATTCTTTGTCTGCTAGGTTTTACTAATGGACCGTGACTCGTTTTCAGCAGAGTGCAGTTTTCAAGTGCCAGTCAAGTACTTGAAGGCTTAAAGTTTGTCGCAGGCTTGAGTGCTATGGTGGCTCAGGACAGCTAATGAGGCAGTAGTGCCGTGCTAGTGGATGCTAAGGAAGGGAGAGGGAAAATTCACAGCTTTGTAGGTCGCTGCCATGATGGCATCTCAAATCACAGCTGGTGCTACACAAAGTGGTTGAGGAATAAGTAGATTTGTACAGTGGGCACAATGAAGGGGGCTGGATCTTCCAAGATGTCAGCTGCAACTTGTTTATTCCGCAGCCACTTACACACCAGTCATGATTGCGGTGCCCTTCAAATGATCCAGGGTTCATACTGGGCAGCTTTGGAGTTCCAGGACATGATAGCAGCTAAGGATCAGCACAGCAGAGTGCTCTTGCTCCACACCCTCTGCAATGAGGGTATAGAGACCGCGTTTGCTGCTGTGACTGCAATACTCGAGCGAGCTTTAAACTAGATAGACTGGGGCAACTGGTACTCTTGGTGGAGTGAAGAGGTTTTGACTGAGCACCGGATTCAGCCCATCCTCGCTTAGACTTGTTCTAAATCATTTAAAACCGATGAAAACTAATGTGTTTCTGAAATACAAAGCGTAAGTTGTTCTGAATAATTTTTGCATGGTGTATATTTATTTTGTAGGTGCCTTGCAGGTTATAATGGAGAGAGGTGTGAACATTTAACACTAAATTCATATGCACATAATTCTTACGAACGCTACATTGCTGTGGGAATTGGTGTAGGAATACTGACAAGTGGGATACTTGCTATCATCTACTGCTACATAAGAAAGAGGTATGGGAGATTCGTAACCTTCTGATTGCATTCATCTGAGTTGCAGCGTGCAGAGTTCTGAGGGCACTGGGAGTGTGTTCTTGCCTGTTATTGATATGTGGTGTGATCTTAAAGGAGCTGATAGTCTATAGCTCTGCTTTCCGATCTGCCAGTCGGGTCCAACAGTGCGACTGTCTGAAACAGGGGTTTCATGGGGGCAGCCTCAATGAGTTAGGTGATTAGAGTTAGGTTCTGTTCAGGCTGCTGTGGTTTTAGATTTGTCTGATAAAAATCACATGATGTTGTCCATTTTAGATGCCGGAAATTGAAATCACCCTACAAAGTCTGCGTGGGCGAGACGGCGTTGTGAAGATCTGGCGTTGGGACACTTACCAAGTTGCCTGTAAAGGAGAGGAAGTTCTGCTGGGAAGGCCACCCTGCGCCATCTGGCAGGTACCCCAGCCTCGCTGATGACATGAAATAAAGGGAATGACAGAGCAAGTACATAACAGCAATTCCTGCAGAACTGATGGGCTCCATTCACTTTTGAGAAGGACTTCCTCTTTTGAGTAAAGGTTGCTAGATGAGCAGGTTCAAACAGCTAAGGATACTTGCAGCCCTCTCAACACTCTCCTGTGGTTGGTATTTGCTGAGGGGAGGACTGGTTGGTTTTAGCTGTTGTCAGTCATTTCAAGCCCTAGTAGGGTGTTCTGCTCTAGTATTTTCTGTCATCTTTCCCCCCCACCCCCCTTGGTCTTCTTTCTCCTCTGGAGGGAAAGCACAACCTGTCTCACAACGGAATTGTGTTCTGAACATCATATGCTGACAAGAAACCCTTTGGGTTCTGATTTCAGTGTCCGCTGCCTGGGTGTGTGGATAAACAGCCCTCTTGCAACACAGCAGTTATCTTCAGTGTGCTAAGCAAAGCATAGGCTTCTGTTGCCATAAAGGACAAAATTATGGAATGCTTTGGACTGAGGAAAATTGATGGTTCTCAGAAGCTTACTTAAACTTAGGAAGAGAGAGTAAGCAATTCCTGGAAAATTAGGTTATGACACCTCTGGGCATGGCAAGTTCTCACTATTTTCATAAGCAAAGGAATGGGAAATCTCTCTCAAAATGGACTATTGAGCGTGCTTGTGACCAAGAAATCTACTCTTCCCTACCAACATATAGCAGCTCATCAGATTCACGGGACTTCAGGCAGACTGTTACCTTGCTGCACCGCGATTTCATCACAAGCCTTAATGTTATTAGAGCACCTGGAATTGTGTTATGAAACTTCAGTATTAGCTTAGCCCAGGAAACACTCTCTTTATTCCGTTGTCGCATTACGTGCACAATATGACCACTTAAGTAGGAAAGAAGCGACCGTAAGGATTTTGTTCCACCCTGGACGAACAGATTACATATCAGCTGCTTATTTTGTTTCATCCTGTCTACAAAGAATCATGAAGGTAAAAAGATTTTGTTCAAGGAACGGGGAAGAAAATTGATTCTGAAGATGGCGGCTGACAGCTAGAGTGTTTGCCAGTGCTCATGAGACTGGAGATGGCTCCCAGATATTCATTTCAGCTGTTGCATGTTGTAGATGCATCTGCTATGCTCAGTCATCTATGAGAAAAAGGCAGTTCGGTACTCTGCGATTTGTTTGGGATGATAAGGCTCCTAAATTTAGGTGCCCAGCTGGAAAGCTCAATTTCTTTGTTATGTGAGTTAATTTTCACAACGGGATTTGTGTCACTTGTCGAAAAAACCCTGTGTACAATGCCAATGCTGAAATGTGTATGAAAGACTGGGTTTTGAAAGCGTAAATGTACATTTGGCACTCGAGGGGTCTGAAGTTCAGTGGGCTTCTCACACAGGGGGATTCTGGTCAGTAGCTGAGTCGTCTTGGCTCTCCATTTGATAGCAATAAATAAAACATGTGTCACAGTTTGGTTGGAGTCCCCGGGTAACAGACTGGAGCGAGCGACGTGTGTACACAGAAAGGACTGTTGGTGAGGAGCTGGATGGAGACAGCCACCACTCCTTTCCTCTGCACATTGACATCAGCATTCTGAAAGAGGCACTGGGCTCATTTTCTGTTTACTTCATCTCAAGTTAAATCTTCAGATCTCTGTGGTGTTTGCTCCTTTCCATTCTTCTGACCTGTTCTTAGTATCCACTGAGAGACAACTTCTGCTCTTAACGCTTTTCAAGTCAGCTTTCAATAGTTGCCTTAATGTTTTCTGTGTCACAAGTATGCAGTGAGTGCAATTGGATGTGCACTACGATCTGTGCATCTGCACACAGACACGCAAAAAAACACCCTTCACCCCTCGTGCCCACAGGACAGACTGAACAGCAGTACGTAGGAGAAAAGTGCATATGGTCAGGAAAGCGCAGGTGAGAAGTCTTCCTCGTCAATCTTGGAGAAAATTGTAGAGCTAGATAGGCCAAAGGGTCAAAAGCCTCACAGCTTTTGTCATGTGAGTGAATCTCCTCTTCGGCAGTGAGTTGACTCTTCCTGCATGCACATCGTGAGAGTTGCGTTCACTGCTAGAGGACCAAACCTGCGTGACAGAGGTTGGGTCGTGGAGCAGATGCGCACAGTAAAACACAACTCGCTCAGGGGGTACATGCACTTGTTCAAGGAGTTCGAAGGGCAGGATTTTGAACAACTGGCCTTCCACTTGTCCAAAGAAAGCTGTCAGGGAGAGATGATTTTTTTGCATGTCATCTTACTGAGTTTTTTAACACCCTTTACATGCCAGTGGCTCAGGAGGTGCCTTGCAGGATATGCAAGTGCTTCTTCAAAGGTACATCGTTATTGCAGTGAGACACTCCGTACCTATGGAAACACACACGGCCTTCCTTTTTGTTATATTTGCTTAAATGTAACTCGAAAGGAAGGTTTATTTCAAAGCCACAGTTTAGCAAGGGACTAAACAGTGGAATATTTGTTTTTCTAGTTTGCTTTCTGATCCAAGGCAGCTTTGGAAGGGCTGCCAGTGAAAGTGTGTTGATGTTTTTCTGCCAGTGGAAGAAATACTTGCGAGTGAGACACCAGATGAATCTGTGCCATGCAAACATGACAATAAAATGGAAAGATGAAGATGGGAAGGAGGAAGGGAAAGGAGGTCTTTGCTTTATTGAGGTCTCCAGAAATGGGTTCCTCACCACCTGGTGCTGTACGCCCTTTGTGCACAACCTCAGAGCAGGCTACCAGCTTCTTGAACACACGAGGCTGGTGGCACCAACACAGATGACAGCTTTCTCTGTCCGTCTGCAGTGTTTGCAGGCTGTAGCCCCTGTGGGAGTAGAGTGTTGTCATTGCAGTTCTAAGGGATTTCATCAGGCCCAGGCTGTGTTTGAGGCATGGCTGCATGAATGAATCACTGCTGTTTGATGCAGCGACCCAGCTGAGGAAGTCTGCGTTGCCTCAGATTGCTTCGTGGAGTCAGCCATGCTGAGCCCTGCCTTGATAAGTGACAGATCCTACTGGGCTGTGTGGTGTGTTGCTGCTTACGGTGCTGAATTTCCTGCAGAACTGGCCCGTCAGAGGATGGGGATCATCTTTTCTGGCTCATTTATCAAGCTCAGACTCCTATAATGGCATAATTAACAGAGTCCTAAGCTTCTGCTTCCTTTTAGCTGCACGTGCCAAGAACTGTCATTTCAAGCAGGGAACCTGTGTTTGTGTGGCTTTTAGACAGTCCTGCATCAGCTTTGTTGCGCACCAGCTCAGCAGGGCCAAGAGGGAGACGTTAAAGACGGGAACCTGACTTTCCAAAGGACAGAGCACTCACCCTGTGTATGATCCTGGCTGGTTGGAACCACACTGGCTTTCCCCGCAGCGCATCTCTCAAGGCTAGTTGCCCTTAAGCCACCCAGCCCTCTACCTGCTTCGCTGGCATCCGCAGTCACCGTGCAGCTGTACTTTGTTGCTAATGCTTGGCTGTGACTTGACTCCCTTCCCTGAATCCAACACCCATTTTCTATTGAAGCGTGTGGGTGGCCTGCAGCTTCCCCGATCCCAGCAAGGTCTATTTAAAATGGCAAGAAGCAAGCCTGTGGGAAAGATGACTGTCCTTTCAAAATACTGCTTTTAACCTTGGCAGGTAGCGTGAGGAAGCGCACCGATAGCTAATGTGCAGAGCTGGCAGTGTCCCTCTCCTGCCTGCCGGATCGGGTGCGCTGTTGATGTAGAGCGGTGCCCGTGGTCGCCTAGGGCTGATTCAGCAATCTGAGCTGCAAGGGCGCAGGAGCAGCCAGGCCCCTGGCCCGTTTAGTCCAGTAGCCAGCCAGCGACTGCAGAGAGTGCCAGAGGCTCCTGAAGAAGGTACTAGAGGTCTGGTGACAGGGAGGTACGTAGGAGACAATTTTCTCTCAGAGAATCTTTTCTCTTACTCGAAGTAGCCGAGAGTAGGTTTTACATAATAACACAGCGGGACTTCTGGTCCTTCACGCTTACTGTGGCAACCCAGCTTCTTCTAGTGCGTATTACAAGTGAAAAACTGATTTGTGCTCATGTGGCTGGCGTAAGGCTAACTAGAGTATGGTATGAGTGTAAGTACTGGGTTGTGTCCGAAGAACTACCTGTGAAACTGGTTACTTGCCAGAGACTCTGGGCTTTATGCAAACAAACAAACAAAACCCCAAACAAACCAAAAAAATCAACCCCCCAAAATCATATGGCTCTTGACAAAACTTTATAGCTTTGTCATTCTTTACACCCATTACGTGTTTTATTTCATTTCTGGACCATGAAATACACTGTAGTTGGAAAAGCATCCCACAAAGAGAAGGCTAACTTGGCAAAACGATTGAATCATTACACTCAGAAGAGCTCCCGTGGCCCCTGAAGCTTGCAGTCCTTAATGGATTTCTCTTTAGAGCATCCTTGTGCAGCAAGGCAGTGCTTTGGGGATGATGCGCTGTGGAAAACTGAGACAGGGAGGGACTGAAGTCCCACGAAGGAGAGGCATCGGACTTTTCAAACCTGCTCATAGTGTTGTAGCCGATGGATGGTTCTTCTGCTCTTACGAGTTCTTTTAAGAAATGGTTCTCTAGTAGGTGGGTAACACACTAGCGGTATTGAGAGAGGGGACAGAGGGGTCAGCCTTCGTGAACTCAAAGTTTGATGGCAAACAGCAAGAGTTTCTGAGTCTTCATTTCAACTCTCTATCTTGTATGACACTAGGGCAATATTTTTTTTGTGTGTTTAACTTGTGGAGCTATTCAGAGAAATCTGACAAAAATAAGCGTTTGAAATAAGACTATTTGCATGACACAGGTAAATAATCTGAAGGCTGTATTCAGTCAACTCCAGCCCATGGTAGGTAGGCTCTTCAATAGCCCTGCTGGTTTCAGTAGCTCCTGGCGTGGAACCAAATGGCTTCACAGCAGTGGGGTAGCTGGATTCAGCCTCTAGAAAAAAAAGTGTGAAAAACGAGGAGTGGGGAAAAGCAGACCAGTTATTGCGTGTGTTTCAAGGTGTCACTTTGGTGGCCCAAAGGTACCAGTGAGCAACTTGACCTGCTGATGGAGGGACAGAAAGCGCTGTCTGCACAGCTGAGGGCTCTGTGGTCTCTCTCCATTGCAGAGCCCTGATGGCAACTGCAGCGATGCATGGCTGCTCAAAGTGTCGTGTCGTTAGCCTTGCTCTGAAGAGGGAAAGGCCTGTAGAGGTCCCCACTGCACTACAAATCCGGGAAATCATTTGGGTCTCCTTTACAACCCAGTTAGCAAACAAAGAAAAGCACAGGTACTCATTAAAAGCTCAGTGTAAGTAGTCGTTAATTATCATAGCAGCAATAAAATCTTGTACTATGACTAGACTTGGGGCTGCTCCTACTCTCGCTGAATTGAATGGGAGCAAGAGCAGGCTCTGTGAGAAGCAGCGCTTAGCAAGCTGAAGGAGGTGTCACAGCACAGCCAACACGGCTGATTTGTGCAGAAAAGGAAAATGTCGATTGTGCTATTGCTGGGAGCGCTGTTAGGCCAGGCCCCTTTTGCTCGTGGCTGGTCTCATGTGGCTGCTGGGGTTAGAAGCAGGGGCGCAGACTGGTTTTGGTTGAGAGCACATTGCCCGTGTGGGCAGGCAGGCAGACCCCTAAATGAGAGGTTAGATAGCGTCAGGGAGAAAAAGCGAATGCCTGTTTTCTAGGGGGTCAGATGAAATTATACAAGAGGAAGTAGAGGCACAGAAAAGGGCGAGTTGCTTTATCTAAACTGTACGAAGCCAGATATGGCATAGACCCTGGGCCTTCGGCCTGCCCATCCAGGATCGAGGTAACTGCTTTTCTCCTGTTTGCGTTTTGCCTTTATATTTCAGGGAAACAGCAGAGGCCGAAGGCCTTGGAAAGAGAGCTAAGTTGCTGTTTGCTGGATTTGGTGGGCATCTTGTTTGTGGAAGGACAGAAATTGGTAGCACCAAAGTCTGAATCTCTTTGTCTGTCTTGCTGGGGCTTCAAATTGATAAATGTTCACATAGAAAAGGAAGTCAAAATCTAAACACAAAAGTGACACACCAAACCAAGCATAACACTCAGAAGACTCCTGTCGTGGAGTTTTCCGTGTAACCGATGCTTAAAGATCAGTTATGGTCCACATCCTGCTATTAAGTCCATGTAGAAGCAACAGTTCACATCACAACATAGAGGCTGTTGTATCGCTGGTCCAAACCGATTGTTAGGTTGTTAGAGTCAAATTAAAATTCTAATTCTATTTTCTTAAAATATAAACATAAAAATAGCCCACGAGACAAAATTTCACAGACAAATAAGGGTAAAAACTGCTTTACATGCTATTCTCTGGAGCGCTTCAAGATGAGCTGAACCTGGGAGTCGAGGCATGTCTTGCACAGCCATTTGGGGGGAGTTTTCCATCTGATGGTTTGGAGGTTTTGTGCCCTATTGTGGAAATAAGGCCACCTGTGAAATTGAGCTGTAGTTCCGGCTCAGTTTTCGAACTCATGAAAAGGCTAGAGATCTCAAAATGCAAGGGTTTGATTCCATGTCTAACGTCGAGTCACTTCAACCCTGGTTTTTAATGAAAACTTCATGTTGAATTTATCTGGTTAATGTTGGCAAGCA